GTAAGCACTATATCAAAGATGTAACAACAAAAACGTCCACATAAGTTTAATTTCACTCAATAACACATTTCAATAGATCGCGAGTATTTTCCATTTTGTTACACACGTGAAGCAGTTCAAATAATTCTGAGAGTGTACACAGTAGAAATAATTCCTTTTCCGGCGCCTGTCTACCTGCCTCCTAGTAATGTCTGCAGCTATGTTCCTCGACCTTGTTCACCGGAAATTGATCCTAACTTATGCAAACTGAAATATTATAAAAATTAATTTAGTCTAAGCGATTCGCGTTTTTATCCGTTTAAAATTAATGAAACGTAATTCCTCCGTTGTTAATATTATTTTTCTTTCAAAAAGACGACATCGACATGAGGTGGATTCTCATTAGGGGTGTTGTGTCATTCTGGCAATAATTGTTCTATATTATAATGTTGCCCTAATGTTAGTTATATTTACAATGTTTTCCCCGATTTGACACATTCGCAACGCTCGAGGGACCATATAATAAATATAATTTTTGTCTATATACATTGAACAAAACATTTCCATAGTAAAGACAACTTTGATTTGTCAATGTAAAATCTTAGTTAACCTGAGCAATAGCGCACAGACCCCTGGTGGCAACCTTCTCAGCGTAAAGCTCAACGGTGTTCTCGGGGAAGCTGAACCTCTTCTGGACGACAGAGGTCAATTCACGGATCCTGAACAGAAAAATATCAAATTACGTTTCTAGTACAGTTCATTTCAACAAGCTTTTATCTGATCAGTCAAATGGCTGTCGGTTCTTTGTCTGATCAGTCAGTTGTAGGGAGGCCAAAACTTGAAAAAAAACCTACACAAATTTGTACAATTTTTAGAACAATCCGTACATTTGGGGAAAAAATCCGTACAATCCGTACTTTCCGAACATTTAAGAAAAATAAACCATATGTAAAAAAACGTCAAAATTCATATTTTCTTTATTCATTCAATGTCCTTTCATTTTCATGTATGAGGGTTTAACTTCTTTAGCAGGATCAGTCATTACATGATTTTGATTCAATCTGTAAAATATTACCTTCATACATAAATAATCAAGTGAATTGGGATGAGAATGAGAAAAGAAACAAGAAGATTACGATAAGCATGAGAGGAGAGGCAAATTAGGATGTGAACGAGAAGAGAAACATGTAAATAGGGATAGAAGCAAAGGGTCCGTCCTAGAGAACGATTTCTGGACACCCCCCCCCCCATCCTATCAATTTTGTATAGAGAATGATAGAAGCAGGATAAATACACATTTAGAATATAAAAATTACCGATATTGCAAGTAGTGAAGAAAACCGGTTTTGAAAGTACTGTACAGTATGGTTCAGTTATTAGAAAAACGAGCAGCGGATAAGTTATACGATATATGGACTATTTTGACCAAGCGATATAATTGTGGCATTATGTCTTAAACTTTATTGGGATGGATTCCCCAGTTTGTTTCAGCTTTATTATAAAAAATCAATATTCTCGAATAACTAATGAATTTCGATTGAATCAACAATCTATGAAAATAAGTTAAATTCGACGAGATTTTTTTTTTAAGTTTTCATGCAATTATATGAAAGGGTTAAAATTTGTGTACTTTCAGGCTAATAAATCCGTAAAATCTGTACAATTTGAAAAAAAATCCATACAATCCGTACAATTTTAGAGTTATAAAAAATCCGTACATTTAAAGGCCACCTTGCAATGATTTATATAACGTCGGCTTTATGTAGATCCATTAAATAAATTTAAGACTCCTAGCTGACATGTAGTGGGCTTTAAAATTAATGAAACGTAATTCCTCCGTTGTTAATATTATTTTTCTTTCAAAAAGACGACATCGACATGAGGTGGATTCTCATTTGAACTACGTACTGCCGTTTGAACTATGGTACGTTTGAACTATTGTTCGTTTGAACTATTGTTCATTTGTACTACTGACATGACGTCATATCCTGTAGTTTAAATCAACGCATTTCTTGCTCATTTGAACTATTTTTCTACCCCAATTCAGTTTTAAATTTTTTTTTATAATCTTCATAAAGTTATATTCATGACAATTAATTAGATAAACATTAAACACAGAATGAACATGAAAATAGTTCAAATGAACATAAAAATAGTTCAAATGAACATAAAAAATAGTTCAATGAACATAAAAATAGTTCAAATGAAATAGTTCAAATGAACATAAAAATAGTTCAAATGAAATAGTTCAAATGAAAAAAAATAGTTCAAATGAAAAAAATAGTTTAAATTGGACTAAAAAATAGTTCAAATGGACAAAATAAATAGGTTAAGTTAGGTTAGGTTAGGTTAGGTAAAAAATAGTTCAAATTAAACATATTTTTTTGTTCATTTGAACTATTTTTTTGTCCATTTAAACTATTTTTTTGTTCATTTGAACTATTTTTTTGTTCATTTGAACTATTTTTTTTTGTCCATTTGAACTATTTTTATGTTCATTTGAACTATTTTTTTGTTCATTTGAACTATTTTATTATTCATTTGAACTATTTTTTTATTCATTTGAACTCTTTTTTTTTCATTTGAACTATTTTTTGTTTATTTCATTAATAATATTTCAATAGTTCAAATGAACTAAAAAATAGTTCAAATGAGCAATATATTTACTCGTTTGAACTATTGTTCATTTAAACTACTCACGTGGTCCCACGTACGCAGTAGTTGAAATGAACAATGTTCAAATGAACAATAGTTCAAACGGCAGTAGTCCAAATGAGATAGCACCCGACATGAGGTTCAAAAACAGAAATTACACGATGTTATATCAAACTATAGGACTCCTAGGACTATAGCTGTTCGTGATTTTCGATGCTATATATCGTTTGCACTAATGTCCAAATTGAACTATACGTACTTTTGCACTAAGTCAGCTGATCAGTAACACTATATATATGTGGCCGCAAATTTATTCTTTCATCCTCTCAATCCGTCCCATGCTTTATCCTTTCATCCCCTCAATCCGTCCCATATGCTTACTTTATCTTTTCATCCTCTCAATCCGTCCCATGCTTACTTTATCCTTTCATCCTCTCATTCCGTCCTAGCTTACTTTATTCTGTCATCCTCTCGATCCGTCCCATGCGAGGGAGGGAGCCCAGAGTTCCTCAAATAGTAATCACCGCCACCCAAATCTGTTTTGCAGCAAGCGCGCTCCTCAATTGGTAATCTCCACCACCTCAATTAGTAATCACCGTAAAATTTTNATCCTTTCCTCCTCTCAATCCGTCCCATGCTTACTTTATCCTTTCATATTACCAATCCGCCCTAGCTTACTTTATTATTTCATCCTCTCAATCCGTCCCATGCTTATACTTCATCCTTTCATCCTCTCAATCCGTCAAAACTTACTTTATCGTTTCATCCTCTCAATCCGTCCATGCCTTCTTTTAAAATTATATTATTTCATCCTATCAATCCGCACAAAAATCTTTTAGAAGAAAAATTATTCTATTTATTTTCAATACCTTAAAATATTTTATTGTAGATTTGCAGCAGATTTTTAGACGCACCTTCAATTGCAACAAATGTTATGTTTCCATATGTGGAGCTCAGCAAGTTTTTTAATTGGTACTCTAATCTAGTTGTAAATGTTATCCTCAGAGTATGAAGATATTCAGAGCATCTAACCTTGTTGTTAACAAGTTATCTTCAGAGCATAGAAGATGTACAGAGCAGCAAACAAAGTTGTTAATATGTTATCCTCAGAGTATGAAGATTTACATACCAGCTAACCTTGTAGTTGATATGTTATCATAAGAGTATGAAGATGCACAGAGCAGCTATCCTTGTTATTAATATGTATCATCAGAGTATGAAGATATACAGAGCAGCAAACATAGTTGTTAATATTTTTCCTCAGAGCATGAAAATATACAGAGCAGCAAACATATTTGTTAATGTTATCCTAAGATTATGAAGATATACAGAGCAGCAAACCTAGCTGCTATTGTGTTATCCTGAGATTATGAAGATATACAGAGCTTGCTGCTATTATGTTATCCTGAGATTATTAAGATATGCAGAACAGCAAACCTTGTATTAATCGAGCTATAAATGTCACGGACACAAGCGTGTAATAAATATCGGGTCACCTACAGTACGTTGTACATTATTAACTATCTATTCTGTAACAAATACAATAATTCCCATATTTATTAACCTGAACTTACCAACTTAAATACCCGGCCATTAGACTGATTTGATTATTTTTAATTGAGATTTCTATATTTATTGACTAGCGGATTTATGCTGCGGATACAATGAACTGAAAATAAATAAAATTCAAGACTTTTTAGCTACCAAGACGACGATATCTTCCTCATTATTACATTCAGGGTATCATACGAGCCATTTAACAATCTTTATTAAGATTAGCTTATTAATATATTATTATTATTCTCATTATTTTTATTATTATTATTATTATTCTTATTACTTGTTTGTAGAAGTTAAAATTGCTAGTTGAGAAATTAGATTATTCTTGATCACAAATATCTAGCAGGATTAAAAACTTTCCATTAAATGTCCAATTTCTCTTAAATTCCTTCACCTCAACAAAAATCTTTTATATATCTCAAGAATACAGATACCAAAGAAACGGGAACTATGTAAAAGAAGGCCTGGTTCACTTACCCCTTAGCTCCAGACTCCATGATGAATCTGAGAACTCCATAGCAGGCCCTACGGACAGCAAGACCTCCGATCAGCTTGTAACGGAGAGACTCAGCCTTCAGAAAACAAAAATTAAGGTAACTCCCCCCCCCTTTAGAAAATTTGGTATGTTTGAATTGGGGAAGATAAGTACGAACGAATATAAAAAAAAATTATATGTTCACCCCTCGTTCTATAAATAATGTCACTTCATACGGTTACAGTAAGAAGACAGGTTTTATAGCACTAACCTTGTTTCCGTTGAGGATAAGCTTGGCGACGATGCTAGCCAGGCGACCGAACATATGTCCGCGCCCGTCAATTACAATTGCCTTAGGAGAAAATCCAGGCATTTCTGAAAATATAAATCTGAATGAATTTTATTAAAAAATGCAATTTTAGAATATATTAAGGTCCGTCCGTCTTCTTCATCTTCTTTCTCTTCTCTTTGCTGGCTTGCTTCCTCTTCTTAATTCTCTTCTCCTTCTCCATCTGAACCTGGTCGGGATTCTTCCCCTCAAGGATAATCTTCTTCCTCTTGTTGATATTCTTCTTCTCATCCCAGTCCTGTTCTCCTAGTTCAATATCCACCTCACGGAGTGTTGTGTTCACCTGGACAAAAACACATTTATACATCATATTTGCAATTTGCTTGGCAAACCAAGTATGAACAAATTGAAGCATAAATCTAAAAATTTATGCTTAAAAAGGTCAAATTCAAGCATTCAGTTTAAATTTCGAGTGAATCAACTCTTAATTGACATTTCCGACTAGATAAGACCACTTTACAAGATTGTTACCTGCAATATGATTTCCCCGACACGGGTATCGTCGATTGATAATTCCTCCATCCGAACTTTGGTTTCTTTTTCAATGTCCTAAAATATGTAAAATTCTAGGAAATCTTTTAATCTTTTAATGATTGAGAAAAATGTTATTACCTGTAGTAAACCAACTTGTGTTGGTGTGACAAGAGTAACCGCGCGTCCAACGCGCCCAGCTCTAGCAGTACGTCCAACTCGATGCACATAATCCCTAGCAGCACTTGGCACATTGTGATTTACAACCAGCTGAACTTCAGGAATATCCAGACCTCTACTTGCCACATCAGTAGCAATCAAAACCTTTGTATGGTTGGATTTAAACTGTGACAGAGAGGACATACGCTCTTTCTGTGGTTTCATGCTGTGCAGAGAAGAACAGGATACTCCGATTTTGCTAAATCATAAAAAATAAAATCTTGAATTTGAAATACCTTTGATCTTACTAGAACCATAAAAAATCTTATTATAAAATATAACGTACTTACATAAAGGTTCGCTCTAGTAGTTCCGCGGTTTTGCAGGTTCGGGTGAAAATCATGATGGAATCCTTCGGTTTCTTTTCTCTGGTCTCCAAAACAAGCTGAACTAGATACGCGTTCTTAGCTTCGAATGGAGTCAGGATGAATCTTTGCTCCAGAGTTGAAACGGTGGCGGTTTCTCCAACAGTTTCACATTCCCAGACATGAGGATTGTTCGGACAGGCAGAAACAGTTTCTCCAATGATTGGAGAGTTTGTGGCCGTGAAGAGTAATGTTTGTCTGTTCTTCGGCAGGGCAGATATTATCTCAGATAGTTGACCATCGAAGCCACCTTACAAGAAGGAAAATTATGTCAAACTCAATACAAATTGAAAGAGAAAGGATCTAGAGGAAAAAATATTTTTTAATTGAAAAATGATGTACCTTCTAAAAGTCGGTCCGCCTCATCCATGACAAGATATTTAATCTTGCTGAGGGAGAAGGTGCTGTTGTTCTCAATATGATCCGCCAGGCGGCCCGGGGTTGCAATCACCACATGTGGTCTCTTATCCAGGTCTTTGGACTGCATGATGGTATCCCGGCCTCCAACCACCACACAGGTTCGGAGACCCATCCCGGTTCCAATTACGTTGAACTGATCCGAGATTTGAAAAGCCAGCTCCCGGGTTGGGGTGAGGATGAGAGCATATATACCGTAAGGATCCTCTGATAGGGTTTGGAGGATGGGAATAGCAAAGGCCAAGGTTTTACCGGAACCGGTTTTAGCGACCCCGACACAATCTCGACCATCAAGGATTGGCGGAATACAAGAGACTTGGACGGGAGTAGGTTTCAAGATCCCGACCTTAAAAGTTTGGAAGAATAAATGGCTGTGAAGAGAAGATCAAGATTTCTAATTGAGGATCATGCAAGACGGATTAAATACCTCTTTCAACTGAGCCAGGATCCAGTTGCTCACTCCAAGGCTCTTAAAATCAGTCATCTTATTTTGACATTTTTCTGAAACGATGATATCTTGGGTTTCTTCCTGGATGCAAATTTACTGAATGAATAGTTGCTTTAATAAACCATTTCTTCCTTGTTACTCAAGTCAGCTTTCTCTATCAATATCTCCCGTTCTACTCTTGAACTGCCCCGACCCGTCCCTCCAGCAGATTTAGCTATATCCAGCATACCCTGAGCCTTGACAAGCTCTTCAATTAGTCGCGTCTCACGACCTAACTTCTTCCGCAGGTCATTGAACATCTTCTCCACCTTGCTGGAGTTTACAGAGACGGGTAGATAGATATCTATTAATAGTTCTGCCACATAACGAACTACTTTAGAAAACCGTGGATTTGTCAAGTTCTTCAGAACATAATTAAGAATGAGAATAAGAGATCTTTCATCTCGTCCAGTCAGAGCAATTCGTAATCCTTCCCGCCGCATTAGCTCATACAATAAACTGTGCGCGTATTCAGGTTTCTTCCTTTGAACAAATGGTTTCATGGTTTGATCCAAAGCTTTACTGTATTCATACTTTCTCAGCAGTGTATCATGCTTGAGCTCAATATCCTTCAAGGATGTATCCACCATAATGTCTCCGGGAGCGGGGGTGAACTGCGTGTATTGAAGATACCTATGACTTTTCTCCTTCCTAACTCTTCTAGAATCTATTTTAACTCCATTAATATACTTGTCATCCTTCTTCTCAAATATTTGAACCAGACCGTCCACCATTCCTCCGACAACATACTTGTTGTCGATATCAACACCAACACTGAGCAGACTACTGGGGAAGGATAAGCTCCCGGTAACCTGGAAGTTCTGCATATCCAACCTCTTAGCTTGTCTGTCTAGAGATCCACTTATAACACTTCCACTGCTTTCAACACAGAGGCACGTGATGGTTTTATGATGAGGACTGATACGAGCTAGGTTTCGTCCTCCTCCGGCTATATCCCAGACCTTGACATCGTTCCCTCCTGCTGATACAATCATTCCGTCTCCGGGTAGGACGACTAAATCCTCAACCTTAATTATAGATGTTAAATTAAAAGATGAAGAGAACAGATCCAACATAAAGCTAAGTTTAAGCTAAAATAAGATATGGCTACGGTCGGCGACAAAAAAATAATTCGAATAAAAAAGTACGTGTTTTTATTTCTTACCGGAGCTCCGTGGTTTAGGGTTACAATAGGTTCCACACCAACTCTTCTATCCCACAACATGATGGTACTATCATACCCTCCGGAGAGGATTAGATCAGAGTTGAGATGAAATGGTGTCCCACACCGCACATAGTCCGTGTGTGAACTAAACTGCTGAACCAAAGACTCGGAAGGGAGATCCCACAAACCAACAGTTTTATCGTCGGAGAACGAGAGAATGTGCGTGTTATCAGGAGTAAAGTCGCATCTGTGTGTCGCTGTTGAGTGGCCGCGTAGTATTCTTAACAAGGTTTTGGTGGCGACATCGAATATTTTCAATTGTCCCTCAGATGTACCAACGCATAAAAGTTTTCCGTCTCGACGAAATTTAGCTCCGAAACAGGCATCTTGAAATTTTGTCATGGTTTTGTAAACATCTTTTATCACAGGGTCGTAGATTAGAACTTTAGAATAACTGGTAATAGCAAAGTATTTTGACGAGGTCGGAGATATGTCGACATTATTGATTGCTCCATACTCCTTGATCGTGATAGGATGCTCCCATCTCCCCCAGGTTCCATCTCCGGAGACAAGATCCGGAGTATCTTCCGACTGTAAGATCTCCGTCCTCTTGAAACTGGACATTTTATATCTGAAAGAGAAATGTTAAAAGATCTCCAGAGTTTGCAAGATTTAGACAGGGACTGGAGGCTGATCGGGCTTCACGGCCTTGGTCTCGGAGTAAGGACTGGGAGGAAGAGTATCCTCCTTGGGTTCAACGATCTGGACATAATCGGGCAGAGGTTTCTTGGGTCCCATCTTGCCTGCAGGATCCCAAGGCAACATAATCTTGACCTAAATTAAGAGAAAATTAAGGGCGTTCCAATAAACATGGTAATTAAGATAAGACAATCGTCTTAGATTTCCGATGAATGACGAGAAGAGTTTCATTGAAAGATTGTCAAATTAACTTTTCAAAATGTTGTGTGACTTAAATGTATCTTCAAATTTAAGGGAAACATTAATATGTAAATAATTTTATTGTTCTTTAATAAAAATGAATATGTACCGATTTCACAACATTTCCACCAATTTTAATTGTGGAAAAATCGTAGACAACATTTCGGAATTTCCGGGACTAAAGATGTAAAGGTTTTGACTGTGTTACTACTAAAATCGTCAATTAATTCAAATGTTAATTGGGAAACACTGTAAAAATGTTATTTAATCATGCATTCATGAGAAACCCTGTTAAACCTGTTAAACTGTTAAGAACTGAAAGGAATTTAATCAATTATTACTTTAGATGAATCACTGAGGGTTTACTTTACTATGTTGTCTAATGATTTAAGTTAAACGAAAAAACCTAATCTATGTATGCTGTATAATACTCGTAAAACATCGTAACATAATTTCAGACCACATAAATACATTTTAATTACAAACCAACAGACCTTGATTCCAAGAACTCCCTGTCTGAGGAGAACGTGTCTGCATGCAGCATCAACGTAATCGTTCATTGGATCTCCGGAGTGGATCATTAGGCCGTCAACGAACTTCATGGCCTTAGCTCTCTGTCCTCTCAGCTTGCCGGAGACAACAACTTCGCATCTTAAGTATAATTAATAAAAAAATTGACCTAACATCATAAAAATTTTAAAATAATTTGTTGGTCAATGAGAATCTTGCATTTTCTAAAGCTGCTGCACTGAAGGGGGAGGGGCGAAATGTTGAACTCTAACTAACATGTTATAAATAATTGCACTTCTTAAATTAAGAAAGGAAATCAAT